CATTTTGAATGTGGCAAGGTGGATGCACAAGGGCCCAGGCAGGATTTGATCCCCAAACTCCTGGGTGAGAGTCATACGCACTAACCAGTCAGCCAAAGGGACATCCGCTTGGCACAGTAGCCAGGGCGCATGATCAATCGGGACATTGTGACAGGACGCTCACACTGTCACATCAATACACTTTAGCCAATGGCTAAAGAGAAAGATACTACGTAAACCAGTAGAGTACTGCGTAGCAGCTCTGTGTCAAAGTTATAAAAGCATCGAGCGTCTCGGCCACGCCTTGTGGCGAGCTGGGAGTTGGATTTGCAAACGAGTGTAGGAGGTTAGCCGTAGTTCAGCGTTAGCATATAGCATTAGCATATCCTAATCTTTAGCATAGCTTTTAGTGTTATACATACTTATTTAGTGTTAGCTTGGCTGTTGGATATTGTAGTTTAGTTAGTGTTTCGCTGTTAGTGTTATTAGGAAAGTAGTTCGGGTTTAGTGTTCCATATCGTGTTAGTATGGTGAGAAGGTGTAGTGTAGTGGGTTCGGTGGCTCTGTGGGGTTGCACTCCTTTCCACTGGACTTAGAAATTAGGCGCCACTGATTGCGCGCAATCGGTGTCTGGAAAACAGTCAGCTCCCGCCTGGTGCTGTAGTTTGCAACCAGCATTTTACCCACGATTCCTTCGCCAACATGATGGAGTTTGAACTGGGTTATTCTGCGTGCCTCCGTTTGAAGAGGGAGGCCGTGCCCACCGTGGCCAATAAGATGTGATGATTCCATCTAAATATTAAATATAAACCTGATTGATCTTTGAATGTTTAACCAGAATAGTTTAGGGTTTTTTGCTTGTTCAGGGACCATAAACACACTTCGTGTTAATTCAGGAAGAGTCAAGTATATTGTTAAAAGGGATTTTATTCTTGTCTAAACTAATGATAATACACGACAAGCTATGAATAACGAAGTGATGGAGTGTATATGCAGTGATGTAATGTGAGTTGTAGGCGGTGTGGTGTAAAGTAGATGTGTATCAGAACCTTTGTATCTGAAAGAGATTGTGAACTCTGGGTGTGAAAGAATTTGTTGTCTGCTATAAACTAGAGAGTTGATTATTAATAAAACAACATCAGACGCAATCTGTTGTGTCTACAAACCTTGATCGGAGATCCCCGGTCAGATCCGGAATGTCAGGAAGTCTGGTGGACCTCAAGGCACTGAAGTTCATAGATTAACTGCGGTGCGACCAGTCCGGTCTCGAATTGTCTCCAGGTCACAACAGGCAGAAAGGTTCATTGCGTCTAAAACGGATGTGTTCTCAAGGAGCCATATGGCTGTGTCAGTTGACAGTGTGCCAACCATCGACATATATATACTGGACAATTCGTGTCCACAGGCTCCAATTAAAAGTTTTTGTGCCAAAATGGGAGGTGGCTACCACCGCCATTTTGACTGTGTCACAGGTTCCGTCAAGCCAAGACAATTCCAAAAAAGGGAAAAGAGGTGGAGCTGAGGGTGGGGCTGTAAGGCTGGGATCAAATGACGACACATGATGAACTGAAGCGATGTAGCTACAAGCTAACCCAAAGCTAACGCAGAGGTGGGAGCTAAGCTAACGGAGATAGCTACCTAGCTACAACCGGAGTTAACTGTGCACAACACCGGAGCTTTTGAGTCAGAGATACGCCGGGCTGACTGCTGGGTAAAACCGGGTGGAACACAGAGGTCTCCCGAGAGCTCCACAAGCCGGCAGCCCGCGCAGCAGACAGGCGCCGCTGCGATCAGAGATGCGCCAAGCTGACGCTGAGGGGAGGGGACCATTCCAATAGTCGGAATCCAGCTCCACCAACATGTTATATTTCAACCCATTTTCAAAAATGCAGCGTCATGTTAAATGCACTGGGTTCTACCCTATTACATTTAAATTTTATGGTTAAACAGTACATGGTGCTTCCGGTCTGTAACAAGATGGCGCTTGTGCTTGGCTTAGCCGCAGTCACCGTCCACTTTTTCAAACGTTTCTCCACTAACCTCCTCTTTTCCACCTTGCTCCTGTCTGTCTGTGTCTGTGAAATCAGGTGTGTTGAAACAGAGTTAAAACCAAAACGTGCTGGATACTATCCCCTAAGCCATGATCAGTCTTTGTTTTCAGGTCATGTGAGAGTTGTTTTTAGACCTACATGTTGCTACTCTTTAGAGAATATTCAAAAAGGAGGTAAACTTACAATTAAATACTCTAAATACTCTTTCTCATAAGTGGATTTACCTGTGTACGGAGGTCAAGGGTCACAGAGCTTAACAAACCAATTCTGAGTTCCAATAATTAGTTCTACAGGTTTTGGAATAAATAAATAAAATGACAACAGTGCCCAAATGTATGCACCTGCCAAGTTTTGTTTAAACATGTATTGCACACTTTCTGTAAACCTTTGTTTCACTTCTCAAACATCACTCTGTGTTTCCTATATGTTACATTTAACTGAAAATCTCATAACAACCAACGATTTATAGGAAACTCATGAAGATTAACAAGACTGCCCAAACTTTCACACCCAACTGAAGATGGTCTCTCAGTCTAAGACGAATCACTGAAATAAATGACCCTTTGCACGATATTTAGGATCACGTGACCTGTAGAGAAGGCAGCTGTCTCCAGGGGCACCCAGTGGGCGTGGTCACACCGGCCAGAAGAATTAGGATGGGGCGTGTAGACTTTTCTCCTCATTAATAACATTAACTTTAAACAGCTGGTTGTGTGTACTTATGTTGTTGTTGACTTATATTTAAATTTGTTTGATGGTCTGAAACACGAAAGTGTGACAAACATGTAAAATGAACATAAAAAAACAAGAAATCAGGGATTTTTTCCACGCTAGTTCCACGTGACCAGTTGAGATGACGTCAGTGTCGAAGCAGCAAAGTTTAATGGCCGAGAGTTTTACGAGTAGTTGTTGCTTTTCCATTTGGTTGTAATCGGTTTCAGGTCCGGACCGGATTAGTCCTACGGGCACCCGGATGACAGGCTCGCTACAAGACGGTAATCAGAATACTTTATCGTCATATGGAGAAGAGCAACAGGATGATTAGTTTTCCCTGCATCTATTACAGCAGATAATAACAGATCTATTCATGAGATTACTTTAATATTCACTTATTGTGTTTAGGTCAGACTGATTCTGACCCAAATGTGCAGCTAAAGTGACTGTAGACGCATTTTATGTTTCAGATTAGGACTAAAATAGGAATATTTTTTGTTGTCAAGCCATCCCATAAATGTGAACATGCGGTCTGGATTTCTAGGCAAGTTGAGGAAAGCAGCAGCGCTGAGCTTCAGGGAAATCAGGACCGAGGCAGAAATCTTCACGGAGTCTGGGACGACTGTCAAAGTCAAAGTCAAAGTCAAAGTCATTTATTGTCATATTCTCCACATGTGCAGGACATACAGAGAAATGAAATTCAGTTTCAGCACACACAATTCAAAGATCAGACATACGTGGGTAAGACACATAACAAGAATTGGTGACTGCGGTCATTCGCAACATGAGTCGCGCTACCTTAATAGTTAGATGAAAAGGGTGTTACATGAGGAAAGTTCAGGGAGGGGAAAAAAGGCATTAACAGGGTTACACCAGCAGGGTGTAGCACTCTAATGCAAAAAAACACCCGACATGGAAGCACAGACAGCACGTATACAACATCAGAGTCCGATGGGGAGGTGGGGGTGGGCGGGATCCTGAAGCCTCCAATGGGAGCTGCCACTGCGGCGCATCGACCAGCTGCAGACCAACAGGTGGGAGGGAGAGATAAGGAACAGAGAGCACATTGAAGTTCCTGCAGAATCTGAAGGAAGAGGGTGAAGGTCGGGACACAGCATCTGTCGGCATTCCTCCTTTTTGTGGGGGTGTGTTGAGGCAGCCTTGAGAGGCTGCTATGGCGTCAGATAAGGATAAACATGACTTTGTTTAGGGCAGACAGAGATAGTCTTCCTCTCCGTCTTGTAGTCTCTAAGTGGTCATTCATGTCCACCAGTGAAGCCAATTTTACATTCCACATCCCCGCATCGTCCGGCGACCCTCTCCGAGATCAAATCCATCTTGCGCACTAACACAGGCAACGCCGCAAGGACATTGTCCAGCTTACGGTTCACCTCGAGTAACGTCCCAGTCTGTGAGGTCACCGCACGAGCGGCACATTCCGTGGGTACGGGTCGCACTCCAATCGCTCCCGTCTTCCCAAATTTCCAGAAAACCAGATATCCTCCCACTCCAATCAGAAGAAATCCAGTGATCATTAGGCCGAATATCCACAAATCTTCCACGTCCTCGATGGACAGCTGAGAGAGGCACACGATTCGCCAGACCTCCCAAGAATCGAGTGCATATCCCGATGCGAATGTCCCCTCGGGACAGGTGGGAGCCCCCTTCTCCGTTCTCATCGTAGAAAAAATTTTGTCAATCACGTTGAATGACCAATTAATTAAGTCCATATTTCCAAAAAAGAGTAGTGGTTTCAGGAGAAATGCAGAGAAGTGCTCTGTAGGCAGACAGGACAAGAGCCTTGGGGAAGCCGATAAGGGAGCTGAGAAAAAAGCGTCTGTACTCTCTGAAGGCTGCAGAAGAGCTGTGAACAGCGACGTGCGCCCCCCGGTGGTGAGAACACAACAACAGAAGAGAGAGGAACCGGACAGGAGTGGAGGTGTGGATGAGATCAGATGGAGCCAGATAAGCTAATGAAGAGCTTTGACAGTGATGAGGAGATTTTAGATTCTCTGTTTAAGGGGAAGCCAGTGGAGTTGTTGCAGAGCGCGGGTGTTGTGATGGGTGGTTTGTGATAACAACACGTGCTGGTTCTGGAGGGATGTGCTGGGGAGCCCAAAGAGGTGGAGTCAGTCCAGGAAGTGACAAGGTTGTGGACGAGAAGAGAAGATTGCATTGAATAGATGGGTGCAATGACTGGTCGTATTCTTGTCAGTGATTGTTTTTATTTTATTTGTTTATTCCCCTTTGCACAGACATCACGCTGGTTTGTGCCACTCGGACAAAGAGAACTGAGTGGAGTTCTGTTTGTCAGGACCTTAGTTGGATCTGCTGTGGACCAGGACGAGAACAGCTGCTTTAGTGGAGATCTGGACATCTGCAATGGGGGACGCCTTTGGTTTGGTCTACTGTCTGGCTAAGGAGGAGGACTATGAGCAGGTCCTTCAGTAGCTATAGAAGTCTCTCCTCCAGGAGAATGTAGACATTTCTGACTTTCTGCTCTTGTGTTTGGGATCCAGGTCATGAAGATCTGCACTTCAAAGGACTACAACGGACTGGACTACCTGCCTGCCTTCTTTCACCGCTGGCTGAAGGAACCTGGACGGATCGTCCTCTTGGCTTGGATGAAAGACAGAGTGGTAAGGACGGGACATAGGTGATGGGTCTAGTAGGCTAGGGTTTCCTCATCTACTGATGAAATCTTGCTTTGACCTGCAGGTGGCGCTGGAATCTGCCTTGCTCGTGGATGGGGGTCAGACGGTTGTGTTTCAGGGTCGCAGGGTGGTTTCTGACCTCAGAGGCAGTGGCATCGCTGGCGTCCTCCACAGTCATGTGACCTCCTACGTCCGCAGTCAGTACCCAGAAGTCTGTGCTGTCAGAATGAGCCGAGGAGACCATCCTTCAGAACGAATCCTGTCTAAGTACAGACTTGTTGCTAAAGAGGTGAGTCTCAGTCTGCAGAACAACTCAGGTATGGGGTGGTCCAACCAGTCACTCCAATTATCTAGTTAGATAGGGACCAGACATCAGAGCACACAAACTTCCTCTAGTGGTTGGTAGTAATACAAACAAATTGTATTTATACTACAGATTTCTTGTACTGCTCCTCCTTCTACAGTATTCATTTTTTCCACAAATGATAGATTTAAACCTTCCGCTAGTTCAGGAATTTCCAGCTCTGCCTCTTGGACTTGATATATTTTACATTTTTTTAAAAAAACATTTGTGTCTTTGTGGATCGTTTTCAGTGCGTGAGAATTAAACAGAGTCCTTTATGTGGTGCAGATATTAAGTGTGTTCTTGTAGAGTTGCTGTGATGTAAATGTTTAGATGTGAGATCAGGTCAGAAACAGCTCTGAGAACAGTTCTGCGATCAGGTCAGAAACAGGTCTGAGATCAGATCAGAAACAGGTCTGAGATCAGGTCAGAAACAGATGTGAGATCAGGTCAGAAACAGGTCTGAGATCAGGTCAGATACAGGTCTGAGACTAGGTCAGAAACAGGTCTAAGATCAGGTCAGAAACAGCTCTGAGAACAGGTCTGCGATCAGGTCAGAAACAGGTCTGAGATCAGGTCAGAAACAGCTCTGAGACCAGGTCAGAAACAGGTCTGAGACCAGGTCAGAAACAGGTCTGAGATCAGGTCAGAAACAGGTCTGAGACCAGTCAGAAACAGATGTGAGATCAGGTCAGAAACAGCTCTAAGAACAGGTCTGTGATCAGGTCAGAAACAGGTCTGAGATCAGGTCAGAGATAGCTCTGAGAACAGTTCTGCGATCAGGTCAGAAACAGGTCTGAGATCAGATCAGAAACAGGTCTGAGATCAGGTCAGAAACATATGTGAGATCAGGTCAGAAACAGGTCTGAGATCAGGTCAGATCCAGGTCTGAGACTAGGTCAGAAACAGGTCTAAGATCAGGTCAGAAACAGCTCTGAGAACAGGTCTGCGATCAGGTCAGAAACAGGTCTGAGATCAGGTCAGAAACAGCTCTGAGACCAGGTCAGAAACAGGTCTGAGACCAGGTCAGAAACAGGTCTGAGATCAGGTCAGAAACAGGTCTGAGACCAGGTCAGAAACAGATGTGAGATCAGGTCAGAAACAGCTCTAAGAACAGGTCTGTGATCAGGTCAGAAACAGGTCTGAGATCAGGTCAGAGATAGCTCTGAGACTAGGTCAGAAACAGGTCTGAGACCAGGTCAAATACAGCTCAGAAACAGGTCTGAGACCAAGTCAGAAACAGATGTGAGATCAGGTCGGAAACAGGTCTGAGATCAGATCAGAAACAGGTCTGAGATCAGGTCAGAAACAGGTCTGAGACCAGGTCAGATACAGGTCTGAGATCAGATCAGAAACAGGTCTGAGATCAGGTCAGAAACAGGTCTGAGACCAGGTCAGATACAGGTCTGAGATCAGATCAGAAACAGGTCTGAGATCAGGTCAGAAACAGGTCTGAGACCAGGTCAGATACAGGTCTGAGATCAGATCAGAAACACGTCTGAGATCAGGTCAGAGACAGGTCTGAGACCAGGTCAAATACAGCTCAGAAAGAGGTCTGAGACCAGGTCAGAAACAGATGTGAGATCAGGTCGGAAACAGGTCTGAGATCAGATCAGAAACAGGTCTGAGATCAGGTCAGAAACAGGTCTGAGACCAGGTCAGAAACAGGTCTGAGACCAGGTCAGATACAGGTCTGAGATCAGATCAGAAACAGGTCTGAGATCAGATCAGAAACAGGTCTGAGACCAGGTCAGATACAGGTCTGAGATCAGATCAGAAACAGGTCTGAGACCAGGTCAGAAACAGGTCTGAGACCAGGTCAGAAACAGGTCTGAGATCAGGTCAGAAACAGGTCTGAAACCAGGTCAGATAAAGGTCTGAGACCAGGTCAGACACAGGTCTGAGATCAAATCAGAAACAGGTCTGAAACCATGTCAAATAAAGGTCAGAAACAGGCCTGAGACCAGGTCAGAAACAGGTCTGAGACCAGGTCAGATACAGGTCTGAGATCAGATCAGAAACAGGTCTGAGACCATGTCAAATACAGGTCAGAAACAAATCTGTGATCAAGTCAGAAACAGGTCTAAGACCAGGTCAGAAACTGATATGAGATCAGAGCCCCTCCCCCCACTGGTACTTGGACCCACCTGAGTTGATGCTGCAGCGCCCCGTCCCTCGGACGATGCAGAGTGGAGCAAATCCAAACACCAGAGTGATGGACAGCAGAACCACCAGAGCTCCCAGTTTTATCTCCAGAGCCGGAACATCAGCTGGGTTTACCGGCAGTGCCACTGCTCCCCCGCGGAACTGGAGGGCTGAGGAGGAGCTTCCACCTGCCGCCAGCATCATTCAGCTTCTCCGGACCCCCTCAGTCAGACAGGCTTAAAACATTGGTCCAGACAAGATCACAATCTGTCAGGAGAAACATGAAACACATAGGCAGAGATCCCAAGGGGACGCATCCATTAACCATACAGATGTCTCCCCAATAATCACGGTAAACAACACATATATATTCAATGACATAGTATTGCCCAATCAAAGCAGAGCACAAACGATCCACATCCAAACAATATCTCTTTAATTGTTGAAAGATTGTGACCACCCCTTAAGTTGAGCAGAAAAGTGAATTGCTGAGGAACCATCGACATATATACATATGTCATATGTATGAGGAACATTAAAAAAAACACAAAAATTGTTGCTTTTCTTAGAACCTCCACATCAGCACTGTGAAAAGCAAAAAGGAAACCATGCTGAAGTTAGTTTTAAGTGACAGATCTCCATCCTGGTTCAGGTCCGATCACAGCTAAATCAACAGATTTTATTTATAGTCACCTCAGGATGGTTCGATTAGCCAGATAACTTTCATATTTAATATTAATATTTTCATAGAAAAATTATGTTTTCTTTAAATGCTTCCACATCATGTGACTTTATTTTTAGATGATGTTCTCTCTCTTTATTGTGAAACGTTTACATAGATGTTGTAGTACTGTAGTACTACTGCTGTGGTACTTTATCTTTGTTTATGTAATGGTACATAATGTTGGTTAACATGCTGGAGGCCCACCCTGCAAGAGACATTTTTTTACATATCCCCCAAAAAGATTTGCTTTCTGAAATTTTACAGTAAATCCAGTCTGAGCCTCTGAGGATCCAGTTCAAGGATTCACAGGTTCTTCCTCTAGAGAGAACATCAGGAACTACTCATGAAATCTGGAAAAGCTTAGTTATTTAAAGGATCAGGGAACATGTTTAAACTTGTCCGCCATGACCTCTGATCCCTGACTTTGTTGGGCAGACAGGTGTTCTCGTCATCAGAGCATCTCTGGAGGAGAACCCGGACCAGGACAAGATCTGTGGAATGGATCAGATGGATGTTAACGGGAACTATCTACATTCTGTCAGAGAAACCAGAATAACCTCTAGATCTGACCCAGAATCTGCACCTGGACCCAAATACAAAGAGCAGCAGAACCAGTTCCATCCAGTAAACCCAGAAGTTTCAAACAAAAACGCTTCAACGAGGACCGATTGATCCACTTTACGCCCAGAATCAGAACCAGGGGATCTTTTAATCTGGAAACTCCTCCGACAAACATCAAGCGAATCAATAAGACACGAGGCCCCTGAGACCCGACGTTGGACCTGAGGCGAGACTTGCCAGGTGAGAAGGACCAGACACGTGGCCTACCTGCTCCAGCCGCGTCCCGGTGAGTCCTCTTCCCGTTACTGGGAGTTTGTCCGGGAAGTTCTGATTCAGTTCCCATCAGCTGATCCCGCCAGCTGTCACGCGAGCCACAACACCACGCACTTCCTGTCTTCAAACTAAAAGCTTTTCCAAATTTTGTTTTTTTCAGCAAATGAATATTACCTGCAGATGCCTTTTGAAACTTTGTGACACACATGCACGCGCCAGAAAAATTTATTTCGTGTTCAATTAAAAAGTCGAACACATCTCAGTTCAATTAATAAAATACATCTAAAATAAATTGGTTTATTATTGATCTGACAGAATCACCCAGAATGAACTTACGTAGAATGAATTTTGACTCAGAAAAGTGAAGCTCAATGTGATACGTTAACCAAAATAAATATAATTGTAACTGAATTTATCAAATGAAGACTGATGAGTTGAATGTGTGCTTTTATTTTGGTGGTCACAGGCCTTGTTTCCGGTGTAAGTATGTTTAACTTCTTTCAGCTAAAGTAGGAGTCGCGCTTCATCACATATTTACTTAAGAGTCAAAGGTCAAAGACATGAAATGATTCAGACCAAAGTTTTCAGCTGATGATGAAGGTTTGAACATCATCAGCTGGTTCTGAATCAACATATGTCTTCAGTCTTACAGCAAAAACACCCAGATGATCTTTATTCTGAGGCTGAAGGATTTAGTCGTTTCATTTCGAGAATGTTGATATAAAGTTCATTATGAAGCAACCAGTTGGTTTTATAAAACGGCTTGATAAGAACTGTAAGTTATGTGAAACGTGTTGACTGCATTATTATTGTTGAAGCAGAATTCTGTTATCACCACTATGGGGCGCTCGTCTGCTGCTCAGGTACGCCTTCAGAAAAACAGAACCTACAGAAATCTTCTAGTCCTGGGTTCTCTGTTCCAAACCAGAATCCTTCAGACCTCTAACCCGAATAACATCTCTTATAAACGTTGGCAGAATAACAAACAAATAAACATTTGAAGCTTAAAAAAAACATGATCATGTTCATTCAGCCATCCATCTTGGACATGTGTATTTGCTCTTTTTCAGACGCACCGACTGGGGCGGTAAATGGCTAAAAGGTTGACTAGCATGAGCGTTTTTAGGCCATTTTTTGGGGGGTGCCGAAGCACCCCGAAAATGTGAGAATTTAAAACATTTAGTTTTACTATATGTTATTTTAAAGACAATTGTAAAATATAAAAAGCATAGTGTGCTTGGTAACGTTAAATTTCAACAACAAAAAATCCTGATTCTTCCAGCTCAGTTTTTGTCATCTGATCAGTTTTAGTGATGAATTTAAATTTCTCAGACACAAGCCAAAGATTGGAAAACCTGTCTGATAACTCTTGCAGGATGGTGTCAACAATGACATTGAAAACCGTGCACCTAAAGTGTATTTCGGGTTCTTCTCCGTGATGAGCATTGCTGGAATTGTCATCTTGGAAACTCTTTTGCTTCCTAAAACATCTCTGTTTGAATTCTGGAGAAGCATCCATTTCAACTGCTATCCTGCTTGCAATTACAAGTGACTTTTGGTAGCCCTCTTCTCTATAATTGAGTAAGAACGTTTTCAGAGAATCAATTAGGCTAATAGCTGTGTCAATTGAGACATCTGCTGCCTGTAGGGCCTTGCTTGCAAAGTTCATCTCTGACAATAAGTCATACCAAATGAGGAGGCACACAAGAAACTCCCTCCTTACAATCTCATCAGACAGTGACTTTGCCTCTGAGACAATTTTGCTGTCTCCTGCCACTTCTGCAAGTTCATAGAGCATCTAGAATCCCCCCAACTGGAAACATACAGCTTTGACTGAGTCTAGCTTTGCTTCCCACCTGGTATCACTCAGAGGTTTCAGTGTGATGTCAACAAATTCTGTGAGAATGGCCACCTCTTCACTGAAGAGGAACACATAGTGTACAATCTTTGAAGAGTGCCAAAGAAGGTCAGATACTCTCTATTAGATGAAGCTGCATCACACATCAAAAGGTTCAGGCTGTGGCTACAGCAGGGACTGAACAGAGCCTCTGGACATCTCTGTTGTATCAAAGCTTGGACACCCTTGTTTATCCCTCTCATATTAGAGCCATTGTCATAGCTTTGGCCCCTACAATTAGCCAAGTCCAACCCCAGACTATCCAGCACTCCTGTCAGTGTGTCTGCAAGGCCTTTCCCAGTTGTGTCCTTCACAGCCGTGAACCCCACAAAAGACTCATTAATACTGACATTCTTCTTCTCATCAGTATGAATATACCGTATGAAAACTGAGGCCTGCTCTTGCTTTGAAATATCAGGAGTGCAGTCCAGTTCCACTGCAAAGTACTTGGAGGCTTTAATCTGGGCACAGATTTTACTTAAAACACATTCTGATATTGAATCCAAAAATTCATTCTGAGTGCACCAAGACAGATATCCGGTGTTTTTTTGTTTTTTTTTTGGAGGCAAGTTTTTCTAAGATGCTCTGCCAGTGTGACATCATACCGTGCGATGAGCTCATGGATACCTAGAAAATTTCCATTTTTAGGATTTCCTAGCTGCGCATTTTTTCCCCTCAGCGGCAGTTTCTTTCAGCAAGGAAGAGTATGCAGTCAATCACTCGAGTCAAAATACTTCTCCAGTGTGTCTTTTCAGCGGGCGTGGCTCTCTGTAATTCACAATCAATAGTTTTACCTATGCGTAAGCGAGATGCCAATTCTTTCCACATCAGATTGTCATGATGTGGTGTGGGTGGCGTCGGACCATGTGTGGTGGAGCTGATCAGGAGGCAGGAATGCAGGCATGGATAACATAAAAATGGATTTAATAGCAGGATACGGCAGGATACAACAAGAACAACATGACAAACAACAATGATCCGACACTGACACATACAAGACGGGAGGTATAAATACACAGGGAAACAATCAGGAACACATGGGCAGGTTAACAAGGGGCAGGTGAGACCAAAAAACTAAACAGGAGGCAGGGGAGAGTCACAGTCAGAGGGAGGCAGGAGCAGATCGTGACACAGATAAGCATTTATGTGATAACCACTAGTTTCATGGTGCATCAGGGTTTTTGAAAGACACTGCCAGTTGTTATAACCCGTCACAAGGTGTGTGTCAGCAACTCTAGCTTCACCAAAAAGCTTACAAGCAAAACAATAGACTTTTAGTACTTTTGGAGTACAGTAACCAATCCCGTTCCACTTTCTCTCCATTGGACAGTAAACGAAAACAGTGTGCTTTGGAAAAACACCGTTTACTCTTCTCTGATCTTGGATATGGCCCACCAGGACATTTCGGTGGGCCATTCTGAACCATGTACTGCCTCAATGTGTCCCCAATTTCATGTGGTGAAGGCCATTCAGATGGATCTTTTAAATAAGGTCTTTCACCAGCCCTCTCCTCTGCACTTCTCTGTTCCTCTTCCTCTTTATCATGTTGACCTCTTTGTTCTTCTCCCTCTTCTTTGTGTAGACCTCTATGTTCTCTCTCTCCTTCATCATGTGGATCTCTCTGTTTCTGTCCCTCTTCTTCATCATGTAGACCTCTCTGCTCCACATTCTCCTCCGTAGTCATTGACTTGCCTTGTCTGCCTGCACTTATTTTTCTTAAAGGACAAAAAGATGGTCAGTAAAATTCTAATCATACTAGAATTCCAGGTTTTTAATGGCCATTCTAGTATATGTATCTGTCATGGTCTCAAGCATTATTTAACAGCTATAAATTACCACTCTTGAAAATGCACTTGATCATTATAAATAATATTTAAAAATTGATCACTTGGTATTAAGTGAGTGTTCACTTCCACCTAGTATTAGACCAACCTGTTGCTTTCCTATCTCTGTTCTGATTCTTTATATCTCTTTTTTCTTCTTTCTCTCCATCCGCACATCTGAATAATAAGAAATTTGAATTTAGAAATATTAAAAAAATACAAGACTCAAACTACATATAAAAACATTATGTTTTAGTTTAAAATTGCAGGAATTTAAGAGCAAATCTGAAGTGCATCACCCAATTCAATAATTTATCAGTATTATCACTCAACATCCAATTAAACAAAGGATTACTGTCAGAAAAACTAAATAACCACCCCTGGTTCCTTTATTTTTCTTGTGATTATCTATTACGTATTTTTTATTAGATCTAGCTGAATCAACCCCCCCCCCCCCCCCCCCCTCACCACCACCACCCCCGCTGCTCTCACGGAGATCCGACTACTCCCAGAAGCCTGTGTGAGATTAAAACCCTGATCTTGTGATCCATACAGAACACCCGTAACCTGTCATTTTACTAGAGGCAGGCTAGCAGCTTCAGCTAATAGAGCTAATAGGAATAATGCCTTCTTGCGAGATGACTCTCCTACTGTCTTTCAATCACTTAGAAAGGTTTTTTTTCATCCCTACGAAATCATTTTTCCCTTTCCCTCTTCCGTTTTTTTTGTGCCCAGGAGAGCTTTTTTTCGGACTTTCCATCTCTAGCTAACCTAGCTAGCTGATCAGATGACAGTAGATATCATTCAAATGAAAACACTCGCGCCCCAGCGCTTAATCGCGGGCGCACGCGCTGGACTCCTCAAGAGTGTTCACGTTCTGTGTGTGTGTGTGTGTGTGTGTGTGTGTGTGTGTGTGTGTGTGTGTGTGTGTGTGTGTGTGTGAGTGTGGGGCGGCAGGGCTGTGGTGGGGCGCCCAATCGCTTGCTTCTGTTAATAATTATTTAATTTACACATGCACAATAGCTATGCAACACAAAAAAGCCCTTCCCCCCCATCAATGCTTAAGCGCACCCTCCAGCGCGGTGCCCCTATGCGTCGCATACACTGCATACCCACTTTTGGCGCCACTGACTGGTAACTTTAACAACCGAGCGTCTGCGTCGTTTTGGCTGCGCACGCGCACTTAACGCTTGCACTTAATTGAGCAGCCCTCCTGGCCCCGCCCCCTTCCACACGTCACGTGAACAGCGTCTGCGCCTCTCTTTATGACGTCACAAAGCCTCAAACTTCATTACCGTCATATACCTTGACCAGCGTCGGATCAGTCACAGTTCACGCCTCAGAGCAAACAGGTAGCATGGAAAACCTACATCATCCTCATATAGAACCACTGAAAGAAAGGGAGAGATTGTTAATAAACTTATTTAATGTGGAACAAAAACTCAAAGATTTGAAAGAGCGCTTTGTAAGAGAGACTGAGCGTTCTGCTGCAGAGAAATTAGAGCAACTGGACACTTATGAAGAGGAGTTAGAAAAATATGATCTTGATTTAATTTTAGTAAATAGAGATGCCAAAGATACAATTTTAGCCCATAAGCGTAATTTAAGTAAACAGGGGCATTTACTTTGGGAACTCGAAGAGGAAAATAAAGTCCTGCAAAATTACAAATTACAACATGAAAACGAAGCCCTGGAGGAGAAGATTTTAGATGACTGTCTCTCAAAAATTAAATTAGTACCAACCTTAGAGTTAAGAGCAACTCCTATGAAATTAAACCAAATGCCTAGTCGTAAGAAGGACTGGATTTTAGGTGCTATCTCACAAAATAAACAAAAAATTAACAAACTGGAAGCCCTGAAGTGTTCAAATCAAGAAGGCTCGTCAAACCTAGAGGAACAGAAAAAGAGAGAGAATCAGTTCCAAGACTATTTGTTGGCAAAATACCGGCATTTACCATTAGATGTTAAGGAGGAGTCTTGCTCTGCGATTGACAGAATAGAGTATGTAGACTCAAAGTTAAAACGGTTAGATAAAGCGAGACTTTCAGCTCTCAAGCAAAACTCAGCGGCGAAAAATACGTTGAGAAAGGAATTGACTGACATAGAGGAAGAAAACATGTCAACTTATCAAACAAACGTTGTTCGGAGAACTAAGGGTGAAGTTAAAAATGAACCACGCTTAGACTTACAAGGAATACCAATGAAATTAAGGTATACAAGTCATAGGAAGTACTTACCTTAAATCTGCATCACGCCCGGCATTCTAAACCCTGGGTTCGAAAATTTTAAAATCAGTCCTTCAAACACAATTATTCATTGATGGCATGTACTTAGAGACAGATACAGGAACATGGACATTGTAAAACCACGTTCACATGTTTGTAGCAAGATGCTTTTAGCCATAGCTAATTTACAGCACTTTAGATGGGCTGTTAAAACAGTCGAAAGAAGTTTATAATCTTGTTTTTCATCGTGGGCATGCTTTGCTGTCCACTATAGTAAATTGCGAGGGGGTGGGAGGGAAGCTAATGAAGAAACCAGTTTTTAGCATTTCATCGTATTTGTTTAGGTAAGTTCACACGTTTGGCTGCAATAACAGAGAAGGGCGTAAATTCAGCTTGTCTTTCTGTTCAATACATTTCTTGGACTCACCACTTGTGAAAGGAGCCAAAGATGTTGGGTGCAATGTGTGATGTAGCCGAAGGAGAGACTCTTCGGCTGGGAAGGGAACGCTTTGGGAATTCCCCCGAAAGAGCTGGCCCAAGTGGCTGGTGAGAGGAAAGTCTTGGCCTCCCTGTTTAGGCGACTGTCTCCGCGACCTGACCCTGGATAAGTGGCCAAAAATGGATGGATGGATGAAACTTTGTTATGGCGCTTACACAGTAGCGTCGGCACGGCCCCAAAAGTTACCGAACGGCACCAGAATTTGGCTTCGCACACAGGTCAGATTCACGTTTTCGGTGCCGAGGCAACTCTTTTTTCAGACCTCCTCCCCAGCGGTCAGACTGGGACCGAGGCGACACTACCAACTGATTGGCTAGCTGAAATTATGCCTACTGCCTTTGATCTGCCAGCGGGGGGGGGGGGGGGGGGGGGGGGGGGGTCCGCATGCGTGGTTCATTTTTACTGAACACGGTACATGAGAAAATAAAAGGTAAAAACATTAAAGTAGAAAACAAATGGGTAAAACAAGACATAAAGAGACCAATGAAAGCAGGGAATTAAAATCAACATAAATGAAGCCGGCGGCTAACAGATAAGTGTGTAAACCAGTGGGAAGTGTGGTGGTGGTGGTGGTGGGGGTGGGGGTGGGGGGTCACAAGACAGCGTTTCCCTGCCGTAGACGAGGACTGCCAGGTCTCCGATGTAGCCTAGTTGTCTTTAGATTGGCTGTTAAAATAGTCGAAAGAAGCAGGAGATCCATTTTCTGCAGCTGGAATAGCCAGGATTTAGTTCTGTCATGCTAGGTGGCAGAAAGACCGTTTACACACTTTGGAACTTATAAGAAACTTTTGAAGAAGCCAGTCTTTAGCATTTCATCATGTTTATTTAGGTAATTTGACAGTCAAATGTTAATAGTCTGCTGAGCGGTTGACTGCGCTAACAGATAAGTGTGTAAACCAGTGTGAAGTGGGGTGGGGGTTGGTTGCCCAAGGCGCTGAACACGGTACATGAGGATAAAAAAAGGTAAAAACATTAAAGTAGAAAACAAATGGGTAAAACAAGACATAAAGAGACCAATGAAAACAGGGAATTAAAATCAACATAAATGAAGCCGGCGGCTAACAGATAAGTGTGCAAACCAGTGGGAAGTGTGGTGGTGGTGGTGGTGGGGGGGGGGGGGTCGGGGGTCACAAGACAGAGTTTCCCTGCCGTAGACAAGGACTGCCAGGTCTCCGATGTAGCCTAGTTGTCTTTAGATTGGCTGTTAAAATAGTCGAAAGAAGCAGAAGATCCATTTTCTGCAGCTGGAATAGCCAGGATTTAGTTCTGTCATGCTAGGTGGCAGAAAGACCGTTTACACACTTTGGAACTTATAAGAAACTTTTGAAGAAGCCAGTCTTTAGCATTTCATCATGTCTACTGCGCTAACAGATTAGTGTGTAAACCAGTGGGGGGGGGGGGGGGGGGGGGGGCAAGGCGCTGAACACGGTACATGATGAAAGAAAAGGTAAAAACATTAAAGTAGAAAACAAATGGGTAAAACAAGAGATAAAGAGACCAATGAAAGCAGGGAATTAAAATCAACATAAATGAAGCCGGCGGCTTACAGTGGGAAGTGTGGTAGTGGTGGTGGTGGTGGTGGTGGTGGTGGGGTCACAGGACAGCGTTTCCCTGCCGTAGACGAGCACTGCCAGGTCTCCGATGTAAACTGAGTGACTTGAAGTCCGCAGAGAGTTGAGCTTCTGTCTGGGGACTTTGACTCTCCTGACACAAGAGACACCTGCAAAACAATTAGCCACACTGATAAAGTCAAAATCGTCAGACATTTTGACCGACTTGCCAAAATAAATTACTTTTTCAAAACCAAACACTTCACACTCTCTGTTGACAATTCTATCTGAGTATGTATGTAACAGATGTATTCTGATGTTTTATAATAATTCATAATAATGATAATGATCTGGTGGTTTCCTGCCACCACAGTCATGTCCCTGGTGAATGATAGTGTATTACATTTTGTGTTTATGTATTTCAGACTTTTTAACATGGACAAATGTGTCCCTCACTGTCCTACACCTCTTCATGCAGTCCGACTCCTCACCTCTAAACTCATGTTTCCCCTACTTCTATGAATAAAACGATTGCTCGGTGTCATTGTAAACATTTATACTTTTGGACTTTTTCCGAGAGACTTTATTCAACCTGATACATACAAATTCAGAAGGTGTGAAAATGGTGACAACTAAAGTTTACACCACCACCCCTATTCTAGTGCAATACAAGCATTACCAAGTCAGCAGAGTCCACCTGAGGAGACGCGGGTGCAGAAAGTTGCAGTTCTGATCTCGCTGGTGTTCGTACAGGTGTTTGCACGAGTGTTGATCTGGCAGATGCACTGCTTGAGATCAATGACAATAGCTCAGATATGTCTCGTAAGTTCTGCCCGACTGCTGGAAGCTCTGTTGAGAATGAAGATATAAATAATTATTTAAAAACATTAAAGCCCCATGTCTGCTATTTAAGCAAACGCTCAAACCATACAAAAAAAAAAACAAAGTCAGTCATTTTTTGTGCAACTTTAAGATAAATAAAATCCTAATCTAGTTATCTTGTCTCTACATGAAAAGACTGATCATATAAACATACCTTTCATTGCTTCTATTGGGTGTTTAAAGTTGTCTTCTTTCAGCCTTTTATTCTCGGCTATTAACGGCTTTATTTGCCTTTGTGCCTTGCTCCAGTTCCTGGATGGCAGCTCGTCATCTGATAACTCCTCATATTCGGTTGGGGACTGCAAGACACAGAAATCAACACCAAAACACACACAACATGTTAGTGTCATGTGTTTCAGACACAAGTAGCATGTTTACAACTACTGCTTGTAAACATTCAAATGTGATAAATTACCTCTAAATCTTTTTGTCTTGCCATCAGATCCTTCTTCAAGTCTTCAATCATTTGGTCTGCAGCCTCTTTTGAAGGACAGGATGCCGTTTAAAATTTTTGCTGCAAAATTTCAGAGTTTATAGTATATGAGCATTGATGCAAATTATAATACATGTGCTAAAAGGAAATATTTAGTACTAGAATACTCAGAGTATAGTGATACAATAACTTTTTAAGTTTTTTAAATAAAGGTTTCAAAGCAGTTCATAGGAATATATGAATATTATCATAACATAGTTTGTAAAAGTGTCACTTATTTAAGGTGTTGTATGCAATTGCACTCAATTAATTTGAGAGCTGTCCATTTCCACATCTTTTAATCAATTAATTTACCTTTTTTGATTGTTGACTCTCTTCCTCATTGTCCATCCACCTGCTGTTGGGCTTTATCTTCCTCTTTCCTCCCCTGTCTTCCTCTCTTTTCCAGATGTCCTCACCCTTTATGAAAGCCTCCCTCTGTTGGCACAGGTCAGTGTAGTTGTCTATGAGAAAAAGATTATTGGTATAATAAACAGACGATGAGTAACTGTGATAAAACATTTCACCCTTTAACCAAACAGAAGCATTGAGGAGCCATAAACATATTTTTTTCTCATTTATAAAATATTGAGCCTACACTTACATATAATAGGTTAAAATTAGGAAAATGTTACAGGGTGTGGGAAATGCAGAGTAAAAGATTTACCACTTTTCTCACACCATCAAACAAGTGAGCATGGTTGACAGAGCTTGGCTGTGAATGCAGTGACGTGCGGTGAGGTTCAGGACTGGGGAGGCACTGGCTGGAGTGGACTGGAGTCAGACTTACAAATACACAATCCCCGAAGCTTCTATTGATAGAATGAGACTAGAGGCGTTCATCTCTGCCTCCAGTCTGATGGCGCAGCGCCTCACAATAGAAATGGGGCTTTGGCGCGTGCGCCCTGCCATGTGCGCAGGAGTGAGAGCAAGGTAGCTAGTTCATCGCCTCCCCTTGGGCTTAAGTATTTGATCAGGAAACGGGTAAATTTCAGCAATTTTGACCATAAACATGTTGAAATCAAACATAAACCAGGCAGTCAGTGGACACATTGATTTCCTACTATATCATTATTGGTCTAAATAGTCACGATGACTGCCTTCCCTACTCATGATAAATGATAAATGACCCGCACTTGTATAGCACCTCTCAGAGTAAGGACTCCAAAGCGCTTTACACTACAGTGTATCATTCATCCATTCACACACACATTCACACACTGATGGTGATGAGCTACAATGTAGCCACAGCTGCCCTAGGGCGCACTGACAGAGGCGAGGCTGCCGAGCACAGGCGCCACCGGTTCCTCCGACCACCACCAGACCACACGTGACTGCATGAATGGAGAGAGTGATGGTTAAAAACATATATAACTTATTTATGTCGTGTGTTACCCTATCAGTTAGTGTGACCGGCCAAAAATGTTTAGGTAACAGACAAGATAACATTTATAAGCTAGGTGTATATCCTGGTTCACAAAACCCACGATAGCCATAACTGTAACTGCCTTCTGTAATCTTGTAAATAACATGTCTGTGTAGCTAAAACAAATATAACTGTAATTTTTTCAGTCTCTTGCCCAGCACTCCCTTGAAAATGAGGTTTTTAATCTCAAAGGGACCTTCCTGGTTAAATAAAGAATAAATAAACAAGGCTAAAATTGATATCATGCATGCACAGACACACACACACACACACACAAACACACACACACACACACACACACACACACACACACACACACACACACACACACACACACACACACACACACACACTGTCTATAAACAGAACCGCTTTAAGCTTTTTAGTTTTCTACCACTAGTTTTTAAACAAACACGTTTAAAACTTCGTAGTTCTCCCCATTTTCTCTTCCTGTTGAAAAACCACAGCCGGCGCGCAAAGCATGCTGGGATAGCCTTGTTCTGTGAGGATACGTTTTCTGCATGTAAACGAGTACTGTGGTAAAAAATGTGGTAAAGATCTCTGTCTGAAAGTGACCAATCACATTAGGGAAGGCGGCTCCTTGGAACCCGCCCCCCAAAGTGTGAAAAGTGAAACTTGTCCGATAGAGCGGAATTTCTACTCGAGAGCAGAGCAGGCTGCGCGAGCGTGTTTTAACAGTTCCACGTGCGTAGTACCCACACTTACGAGTGACAGGAACAATTGTCTGTGTGTGACTGGATACAATCTGCTCTCGGGTCTTTGTAAACACGTGCAAGGTGCTTTTTCGCACTCGCGGATAGTTTAAAACACGCACGGAGGACATTTGGAGCGCTAGTGGATGGGAACTTGTCCTTTCACGGACGTTTAATTATCCTCTCGTGATCGTGCGTGCTCTCGCGAGACCTTATTGACATAAAATAGACTCCATATAATCCAACTTTAATTGGGTTGTAGCATCACACTTTATAGCGTAGCGACTGCAAATTTAAAGAGCAAGTAACGTCTAAATTACCTTTTTTTTCTGATAAACTTTATAAATGAGTGTCTAATAGTGTTTAAATGTGTGTATTCATTATTTTAGCATTTTGGTGCATTTTCTTTAAAAATTAAAAATTCTGCCTAAATACCACAGCATAGTGCCACCTTCAGCTTAAAACATAGAGTTTGAGTCATTTTGAATGTGGCAAGGTGGATGCACAAGGGCCCAGGCAGGATTTGATCCCCAAACTCCTGGGTGAGAGTCATACGCACTAACCAGTCAGCCAAAGGGACATCCGCTTGGCACAGTAGCCAGGGCGCATGATCAATCGGGACATTGTGACAGGACGCTCACACTGTCACATCAATACACTTTAGCCAATGGCTAAAGAGAAAGATACTACGTAAACCAGTAGAGTACTACGTAGCAGCTCTGTGTCAAAGTTATAAAAGCATCGAGCGTCTCGGCCACGCCTTGTGGCGAGCTGGGAGTTGGATTTGCAAGCGAGTGTAGGAGGTTAGCCGTAGTTCAGCGTTAGCATATAGCATTAGCATATCCTAATCTTTAGCATAGCTTTTAGTGTTATACATACTTATTTAGTGTTAGCTTGGCTGTTGAATATTGTAGTTTAGTTAGTGTTTCGCTGTTAGTGTTATTAGGAAAGTAGTTCGGGTTTAGTGTTCCATATCGTGTTAGTATGGTGAGAAGGTGTAGTGTAGTGGGTTCGGTGGCTCTGTGGGGTTGCACTCCTTTCCACTGGACTTAGAAATTAGGCGCCACTGATTGCGCGCAATCGGTGTCTGGAAAACAGTCAGCTCCCGCCTGGTGCTGTAGTTTGCAACCAGCATTTTACCCACGATTCCTTCGCCAACATGATGGAGTTTGAACTGGGTTATTCTGCGTGCCTCCGTTTGAAGAGGGAGGCCGTGCCCACCGTGGCCAATAAGATGTGATGATTCCATCTAAATATTAAATATAAACCTGATTGATCTTTGAATGTTTAACCAGAATAGTTTAGGGTTTTTGCTTGTTCAGGGACCATAAACACACTTCGTGTTAATTCAGGAAGAGTCAAGTATATTGTTAAAAGGGATTTTATTCTTGTCTAAACTAATGATAATACACGACAAGCTATGAATAACGAAGTGATGGAGTGTATATGCAGTGATGTAATGTGAGTTGTAGGCGGTGTGGTGTAAAGTAGATGTGTATCAGAACCTTTGTATCTGAAAGAGATTGTGAACTCTGGGTGTGAAAGAATTTGTTGTCTGCTATAAACTAGAGAGTTGATTATTAATAAAACAACATCAGACGCAATCTGTTGTGTCTACAAACCTTGATCGGAGATCCCCAGTCAGATCCGGAATGTCAGGAAGTCTGGTGGACCTCAAGGCACTGAAGTTCATAGATTAACTGCGGTGCGACCAGTCCGGTCTCGAATTGTCTCCAGGTCACAACAGGCAGAAAGGTTCATTGCGTCTAAAACGGATGTGTTCTCAAGGAGCCATATGGCTGTGTCAGCTGACAGTGTGCCAACCATCGACATATATATACTGGACAATTCGTGTCCACAGGCTCCAATTAAAAGTTTTTGTGCCAAAATGGGAGGTGGCTACCACCGCCATTTTGACTGTGTCACAGGTTCCGTCAAGCCAAGACAATTCCAAAAAAGGGAAAAGAGGTGGAGCTGAGGGTGGGGCTGTAAGGCTGGGATCAAATGACGACACATGATGAACTGAAGCGATGTAGCTACAAGCTAACCCAAAGCTAACGCAGAGGTGGGAGCTAAGCTAACGGAGATAGCTACCTAGCTACAACCGGAGTTAACTGTGCACAACACCGGAGCTTTTGAGTCAGAGATACGCCGGGCTGACTGCTGGGTAAAACCGGGTGGAACACAGAGGTCTCCCGAGAGCTCCACAAGCCGGCAGCCCGCGCAGCAGACAGGCGCCGCTGCGATCAGAGATGCGCCAAGCTGACGCTGAGGGGAGGGGACCATTCCAATAGTCGGAATCCAGCTCCACCAACATGTTATATTTCAACCCATTTTCAAAAATGCAGCGTCATGTTAAATGCACTGGGTTTTACCCTATTACATTTAAATTTTATGGTTAAACAGTACATGGTGCTTCCGGTCTGTAACAAGATGGCGCTTGTGCTTGGCTTAGCCGCAGTCACCGTCCACTTTTTCAAACGTTTCTCCACTAACCTCCTCTTTTCCACCTTGCTCCTGTCTGTCTGTGTCTGTGAAATCAGGTGTGTTGAAACAGAGTTAAAACCAAAACATGCTGGATACTATCCCCTAAGCCATGATCAGTCTTTGTTTTCAGGTCATGTGAGAGTTGTTTTTAGACCTACATGTTGCTACTCTTTAGAGAATATTCAAAAAGGAGGTAAACTTACAATTAAATACTCTAAATACTCTTTCTCATAAGTGGATTTACCTGTGTACGGAGGTCAAGGGTCACAGAGCTTAACAAACCAATTCTGAGTTCCAATAATTTGTTCTACAGGTTTTGGAATAAATAAATAAAATGACAACAGTGCCCAAATGTATGCACCTGCCAAGTTTTGTTTAAACATGTATTGCACACTTTCTGTAAACCTTTGTTTCACTTCTCAAACATCACTCTGTGTTTCCTATATGTTACATTTAACTGAAAATCTCATAACAACCAACGATTTATAGGAAACTCATGAAGATTAACAAGACTGCCCAAACTTTCACACCCAACTGAAGATGGTCTCTCAGTCTAAGACGAATCACTGAAATAAATGACCCTTTGCACGATATTTAGGATCACGTGACCTGTAGAGAAGGCAGCTGTCTCCAGGGGCACCCAGTGGGCGTGGTCACACCGGTCAGAAGAATTAGGATGGGGCGTGTAGACTTTTCTCCTCATTAATAACATTAACTTTAAACAGCTGGTTGTGTGTACTTATGTTGTTGTTGACTTATATTTAAATTTGTTTGATGGTCTGAAACACGAAAGTGTGACAAACATGTAAAATGAACATAAAAAAAACAAGAAATCAGGGATTTTTTCCACGCTAGTTCCACGTGACCAGTTGAGATGACGTCAGTGTCGAAGCAGCAAAGTTTAATGGCCGAGAGTTTTACGAGTAGTTGTTGCTTTTCCATTTGGTTGTAATCGGTTTCAGGTCCGGACCGGATTAGTCCTACGGGCACCCGGATGACAGGCTCGCTACAAGACGGTAATCAGAATACTTTATCGTCATATGGAGAAGAGCAACAGGATGATTAGTTTTCCCTGCATCTATTACAGCAGATAATAACAGATCTATTCATGAGATTACTTTAATATTCACTTATTGTGTTTAGGTCAGACTGATTCTGACCCAAATGTGCAGCTAAAGTGACTGTAGACGCATTTTATGTTTCAGATTAGGACTAAAATAGGAATATTTTTTGCTGTCAAGCCATCCCATAAATGTGAACATGCGGTCTGGATTTCTAGGCAAGTTGAGGAAAGCAGCAGCGCTGAGCTTCAGGGAAATCAGGACCGAGGCAGAAATCTTCACGGAGTCTGGGACGACTGTGAACAGCGACGTGCGCCCCCCGGTGGTGAGAACACAACAACAGAAGAGAGAGGAACCGGACAGGAGTGGAGGTGTGGATGAGATCAGATGGAGCCAGATAAGCTAATGAAGAGCTTTGACAGTGATGAGGAGATTTTAGATTCTCTGTTTAAGGGGAAGCCAGTGGAGTTGTTGCAGAGCGCGGGTGTTGTGATGGGTGGTTTGTGATAACAACACGTGCTGGTTCTGGAGGGATGTGCTGGGGAGCCCAAAGAGGTGGAGTCAGTCCAGGAAGTGACAAGGTTGTGGACGAGAAGAGAAGATTGCAATGAATAGATGGGTGCAATGACTGGTCGTATTCTTGTCAGTGATTGTTTTTATTTTATTTGTTTATTCCCCTTTGCACAGACATCACGCAGGTTTGTGCCACTCGGACAAAGAGAACTGAGTGGAGTTCTGTTTGTCAGGACCTTAGTTGGATCTGCTGTGGACCAGGACGAGAACAGCTGCTTTAGTGAAGATCTGGACATCTGCAATGGGGGACGCCTTTGGTTTGGTCTACTGTCTGGCTAAGGAGGAGGACTATGAGCAGGTCCTTCAGTAGCTATAGAAGTCTCTCCTCCAGGAGAATGTAGACATTTCTGATTTTCTGCTCTTGTGTTTGGGATCCAGGTCATGAAGATCTGCACTTCAAAGGACTACAACGGACTGGACTACCTGCCTGCCTTCTTTCACCGCTGGCTGAAGGAACCTGGACGGATCGTCCTCTTGGCTTGGATGAAAGACAGAGTGGTAAGGACGGGACATAGGTGATGGGTCTAGTAGGCTAGGGTTTCCTCATCTACTGATGAAATCTTGCTTTGACCTGCAGGTGGCGCTGGAATCTGCCTTGCTCGTGGATGGGGGTCAGACGGTTGTGTTTCAGGGTCGCAGGGTGGTTTCTGACCTCAGAGGCAGTGGCATCGCTGGCGTCCTCCACAGTCATGTGACCTCCTACGTCCGCAGTCAGTACCCAGAAGTCTGTGCTGTCAGAATGAGCCGAGGAGACCATCCTTCAGAACGAATCCTGTCTAAATACAGACTTGTTGCTAAAGAGGTGAGTCTCAGTCTGCAGGACAACTCAGGTATGGGGTGGTCCAACCAGTCACTCCAATTATCTAGTTAGATAGGGACCAGACATCAGAGCACACAAACGCCCTCTAGTGGTTGGTAGTAATACAAACAAATTGTATTTATACTACAGATTTCTTGTACTGCTCCTCCTTCTACAGTATTCATTTTTTCCACAAATGATAGATTTAAACCTTCCGCTAGTTCAGGAATTTCCAGCTCTGCCTTTTGGACTTGATATATTTTACATTTTTTTAAAAAAACATTTGTGTCTTTGTGGATCGTTTTCAGTGCGTGAGAATTAAACAGAGTCCTTTATGTGGTGCAGATATTAAGTGTGTTCTTGTAGAGTTGCTGTGATGTAAATGTTTAGATGTGAGATCAGGTCAGAAACAGCTCTGAGAACAGTTCTGCGATCAGGTCAGAAACAGGTCTGAGATCAGATCAGAAACAGGTCTGAGATCAGGTCAGAAACAGATGTGAGATCAGGTCAGAAACAGGTCTGAGATCAGGTCAGATACAGGTCTGAGACTAGGTCAGAAACAGGTCTAAGATCAGGTCAGAAACAGCTCTGAGAACAGGTCTGCGATCAGGTCAGAAACAGGTCTGAGATCAGGTCAGAAACAGGTCTGAGACTAGGTCAGAAACAGGTCTAAGATCAGGTCAGAAACAGCTCTGAGAACAGGTCTGCGATCAGGTCAGAAACAGGTCTGAGATCAGGTCAGAAACAGCTCTGAGACCAGGTCAGAAACAGGTCTGAGACCAGGTCAGAAACAGGTCTGAGATCAGGTCAGAAACAGGTCTGAGACCAGGTCAGAAACAGATGTGAGATCAGGTCAGAAACAGCTCTAAGAACAGGTCTGTGATCAGGTCAGAAACAGGTCTGAGATCAGGTCAGAGATAGCTCTGAGAACAGTTCTGCGATCAGGTCAGAAACAGGTCTGAGATCAGATCAGAAACAGGTCTGAGATCAGGTCAGAAACATATGTGAGATCAGGTCAGAAACAGGTCTGAGATCAGGTCAGATCCAGGTCTGAGACTAGGTCAGAAACAGGTCTAAGATCAGGTCAGAAACAGCTCTGAGAACAGGTCTGCGATCAGGTCAGAAACAGGTCTGAGATCAGGTCAGAAACAACTCTGAGACTAGGTCAGAAACAGGTCTGAGATCAGGTTAGAAACAGGTCTGAGACCAGGTCAGAAACAGATGTGAGATCAGGTCAGAAACAGCTCTAAGAACAGGTCTGTGATCAGGTCAGAAACAGGTCTGAGATCAGGTCAGAGATAGCTCTGAGAACAGTTCTGCGATCAGGTCAGAAACAGGTCTGAGATCAGATCAGAAACAGGTCTGAGATCAGGTCAGAAACATATGTGAGATCAGGTCAGAAACAGGTCTGAGATCAGGTCAGATCCAGGTCTGAGACTAGGTCAGAAACAGGTCTAAGATCAGGTCAGAAACAGCTCTGAGAACAGGTCTGCGATCAGGTCAGAAAAAGGTCTGAGATCAGGTCAGAAACAGCTCTGAGACCAGGTCAGAAACAGGTCTGAGACCAGGTCAGAAACAGGTCTGAGATCAGGTCAGAAACAGGTCTGAGACCAGGTCAGAAACAGATGTGAGATCAGGTCAGAAACAGCTCTAAGAACAGGTCTGTGATCAGCTCAGAAACAGGTCTGAGATCAGGTCAGAGATAGCTCTGAGACTAGGTCAGAAACAGGTCTGAGACCAGGTCAAATACAGCTCAGAAACAGGTCTGAGACCAAGTCAGAAACAGATGTGAGATCAGGGCGGAAACAGGTCTGAGATCAGATCAGAAACAGGTCTGAGATCAGGTCAGAAACAGGTCTGAGACCAGGTCAGATACAGGTCTGAGATCAGATCAGAAACAGGTCTGAGATCAGGTCAGAAACAGGTCTGAGACCAGGTCAGATACAGGTCTGAGATCAGATCAGAAACACGTCTGAGATCAGGTCAGAGACAGGTCTGAGACCAGGTCAAATACAGCTCAGAAAGAGGTCTGAGACCAGGTCAGAAACAGATGTGAGATCAGGTCGGAAACAGGTCTGAGATCAGATCAGAAACAGGTCTGAGATCAGGTCAGAAACAGGTCTGAGACCAGGTCAGAAACAGGTCTGAGACCAGGTCAGATACAGGTCTGAGATCAGATCAGAAACAGGTCTGAGATCAGATCAGAAACAGGTCTGAGACCAGGTCAGATACAGGTCTGAGACCAGGTCAGAAACAGGTCTGTGATCAGGTCAGATACAGGTCTGAGATCAGATCAAAAACAGGTCTGAGATCAGGTCAGAAACAGGTCTGAAACCAGGTCAGATAAAGGTCTGAGACCAGGTCAGACACAGGTCTGAGATCAAATCAGAAACAGGTCTGAAACCATGTCAAATACAGGTCAGAAACAGGCCTGAGACCAGGTCAGAAACAGGTCTGAGACCAGGTCAGATACAGGTCTGAGATCAGATCAGAAACAGGTCTGAAACCAGGTCAGATAAAGGTCTGAGACCAGGTCAGACACAGGTCTGAGATCAAATCAGAAACAGGTCTGAAACCATGTCAAATACAGGTCAGAAACAGGCCTGAGACCAGGTCAGATAAAGGTCTGAGACCAGGTCAGACACAGGTCTGAGATCAAATCAGAAACAGGTCTGAAACCATGTCAAATACAGGTCAGAAACAGGCCTGAGACCAGGTCAGAAACAGGTCTGAGACCAGGTCAGATACAGGTCTGAGATCAGATCAGAAACAGGTCTGAGACCATGTCAAATACAGGTCAGAAACAAATCTGTGATCAGGTCAGAAACAGGTCTAAGACCAGGTCAGAAACTGATATGAGATCAGAGCCCCTCCCCCCACTGGTACTTGGACCCACCTGAGTTGATGCTGCAGCGCCCCGTCCCTCGGACGATGCAGAGTGGAGCAAATCCAAACACCAGAGTGATGGACAGCAGAACCACCAGAGCTCCCAGTTTTATCTCCAGAGCCGGAACATCAGCTGGGTTTACCGGCAGTGCCACTGCTCCCCCGCGGAACTGGAGGGCTGAGGAGGAGCTTCCACCTGCCGCCAGCATCATTCAGCTTCTCCGGACCCCCTCAGTCAGACAGGCTTAAAACATTGGTCCAAACAAGATCACAATCTGTCAGGAGAAACATGAAACACATAGGCAGAGATCCCAAGGGGACGCACCCATTAACCATACAGATGTCTCCCCAATAATCACGGTAAACAACACATATATATTCAATGACATAGTATTGCCCAATCAAAGCAGAGCACAAACGATCCACATCCAAACGATATCTCTTTAATTGTTGAAAGATTGTGACCACCCCTTAAGGTGAGCGGAAAAGTGAATTGCTGAGGAACCATCGACATATATACATATGTCATATGTATGAGGAACATTAAAAAAAACACAAAAATTGTTGCTTTTCTTAGAACCTCCACATCAGCACTGTGAAAAGCAAAAAGGAAACCATGCTGAAGTTAGTTTTAAGTGACAGATCTCCATCCTGGTTCAGGTCCGATCACAGCTAAATCAACAGATTTCATTTATAGTCACCTCAGGATGGTTCGATTAGCCAGATAACTTTCATATTTAATATTAATATTTTCATAGAAAAATTATGTTTTCTTTAAATGCTTCCACATCATGTGACTTTATTTTTAGATGATGTTCTCTCTCTTTATTGTGAAACGTTTACATAGATGTTGTAGTACTGTAGTACTACTGCTGTGGTACTTTATCTTTGTTTATGTAATGGTACATAATGTTGGTTAACATGCTGGAGGCCCACCCTGCAAGAGACATTTTTTTACATATCCCCCAAAAAGATTTGCTTTCTGAAATTTTACAGTAAATCCAGTCTGAGCCTCTGAGGATCCAGTTCAAGGATTCACAGGTTCTTCCTCTAGAGAGAACATCAGGAACTACTCATGAAATCTGGAAAAGCTTAGTTATTTAAAGGATCAGGGAACATGTTTAAACTTGTCCGCCATGACCTCTGATCCCTGACTTTGTTGGGCAGACAGGTGTTCTCGTCATCAGAGCATCTCTGGAGGAGAACCCGGACCAGGACAAGATCTGTGGAATGGATCAGATGGATGTTAACGGGAACTATCTACATTCTGTCAGAGAAACCAGAAGAACCTCTAGATCTGACCCAGAATCTGCACCTGGACCCAAATACAAAGAGCAGCAGAACCAGTTCCATCCAGTAAACCCAGAAGTTTCAAACAAAAACGCTTCAACGAGGACCGATTGATCCACTTTACGCCCAGAATCAGAACCAGGGGATCTTTTAATCTGGAAACTCCTCCGACAAACATCAAGCGAATCAATAAGACACGAGGCCCCTGAGACCCGACGTTGGACCTGAGGCGAGACTTGCCAGGTGAGAAGGACCAGACACGTGGCCTACCTGCTCCAGCCGCGTCCCGGTGAGTCCTCTTCCCGTTACTGGGAGTTTGTCCGGGAAGTTCTGATTCAGTTCCCATCAGCTGATCCCGCCAGCTGTCACGCGAGCCACAACACCACGCACTTCCTGTCTTCAAACTAAAAGCTTTTCCAAATTTTGTTTTTTTCAGCAAATGAATATTACCTGCAGATGCCTTTTGAAACTTTGTGACACACATGCACGCGCCAGAAAAATTTATTTCGTGTTCAATTAAAAAGTCGAACACATCTCAGTTCAATTAATAAAATACATCTAAAATAAATTGGTTTATTATTGATCTGACAGAATCACCCAGAATGAACTTACGTAGAATGAATTTTGACTCAGAAAAGTGAAGCTCAATGTGATACGTTAACCAAAATAAATATAATTGTAACTGAATTTATCAAATGAAGACTGATGAGTTGAATGTGTGCTTTTATTTTGGTGGTCACAGGCCTTGTTTCCGGTGTAAGTATGTTTAACTTCTTTCAGCTAAAGTAGGAGTCGCGCTTCATCACATATTTACTTAAGAGTCAAAGGTCAAAGACATGAAATGATTCAGACCAAAGTTTTCAGCTGATGATGAAGGTTTGAACATCATCAGCTGGTTCTGAATCAACATATGTCTTCAGTCTTACAGCAAAAACACCCAGATGATCTTTATTCTGAGGCTGAAGGATTTAGTCGTTTCATTTCGAGAATGTTGATATAAAGTTCATTATGAAGCAACCAGTTGATTTTATAAAACGGCTTGATAAGAACTGTAAGTTATGTGAAACGTGTTGACTGCATTATTATTGTTGAAGCAGAATTCTGTTATCACCACTATGGGGCGCTCGTCTGCTGCTCAGGTACGCCTTCAGAAAAACAGAACCTACAGAAATCTTCTAGTCCTGGGTTCTCTGGTCCAAACCAGAATCCTTCAGACCTCTAACCCGAATAACATCTCTTATAAACGTTGGCAGAATAACAAACAAATAAACATTTGAAGCTTAAAAAAAACATGATCATGTTCATTCAGCCATCCATCTTGGACATGTGTATTTGCTCTTTTTCAGACGCACCGACTGGGGCGGTAAATGGCTAAAAGGTTGACTAGCATGAGCGTTTTTAGGCCATTTTTTGGGGGGTGCCGAAGCACCCCGAAAATGTGAGAATTTAAAACATTTAGTTTTACTATATGTTATTTTAAAGACAATTGTAAAATATAAAAAGCATAGTGTGCTTGGTAGAAACGTTAAATTTCAACAACAAAAAATCCTGATTCTTCCAGCTCAGTTTTTGTCATCTGATCCATTTTAGTGATGAATTTAAATTTCTCAGACACAAGCCAAAGATTGGAAAACCTGTCTGATAGCTCTTGCAGGATGGTGTCAACAATGACATTGAAAACCGTGCACCTAAAGTGTATTTCGGGTTCTTCTCCGTGATGAGCATTGCTGGAATTGTCATCTTGGTAACTCTTTTGCTTCTTAAAACATCTCTGTTTGAATTCTGGAGAAGCATCCATTTCAACTGCTATCCTGCTTGCAATTACAAGTGACTTTTGGTAGCCCTCTTCTCTATAATTGAGTAAGAACGTTTTCAGAGAATCAATTAGGCTAATAGCTGTGTCAATTGAGACATCTGCTGCCTGTAGGGCCTTGCTTGCAAAGTTTATCTCTGACAATAAGTCATACCAAATGAGGAGGCACACAAGAAACTCCCTCCTTACAATCTCATCAGACAGTGACTTTGCCTCTGAGACAATTTTGCTGTCTCCTGCCACTTCTGCAAGTTCATAGAGCATCTAGAATCCCCCCAACTGGAAACATACAGCTTTGACTGAGTCTAGCTTTGCTTCCCACCTGGTATCACTCAGAGGTTTCAGTGTGATGTCAACAAATTCTGTGAGAATGGCCACCTCTTCACTGAAGAGGAACACATAGTGTACAATCTTTGAAGAGTGCCAAAGAAGGTCAGATACTCTCTATTAGATGAAGCTGCATCACACATCAAAAGGTTCAGGCTGTGGCTACAGCAGGGACTGAACAGAGCCTCTGGACATCTCTGTTGTATCAAAGCTTGGACACCCTTGTTTATCCCTCTCATATTAGAGCCATTGTCATAGCTTTGGCCCCTACAATTAGCCAAGTCCAACCCCAGACTATCCAGCACTCCTGTCAGTGTGTCTGCAAGGCCTTTCCCAGTTGTGTCCTTCACAGCCGTGAACCCCACAAAAGACTCATTAATACTGACATTCTTCTTCTCATCAGTATGAATATACCGTATGATAACTGAGGCCTGCTCTTGCTTTGAAATATCAGGAGTGCAGTCCAGTTCCACTGCAAAGTACTTGGAGGCTTTAATCTGGGCACAAATTTTACTTAAAACACATTCTGATATTGAATCCAAAAATTCATTCTGAGTGCACCAAGACAGATATCCGGTGTTTTTTTGTTTTTTTTTTGGAGGCAAGTTTTTCTAAGATGCTCTGCCAGTGTGACATCATACCTTGCGATGAGCTCATGGATACCTAGAAAATTTCCATTTTTAGGATTTCCTAGCTGCGCATTTTTTCCCCTCAGCGGCAGTTTCTTTCAGCAAGGAAGAGTATGCAGTCAATCACTCGAGTCAAAATACTTCTCCAGTGTGTCTTTTCAGCGGGCGTGGCTCTCTGTAATTCACAATCAATAGTTTTACCTATGCGTAAGCGAGATGCCAATTCTTTCCACATCAGATTGTCATGATGTGGTGTGGGTGGCGTCGGACCATGTGTGGTGGAGCTGATCAGGAGGCAGGAATGCAGGCATGGATAACATAAAAATGGATTTAATAGCAGGATACGGCAGGATACAACAAGAACAACACGACAAACAACAATGATCCGACACTGACACATACAAGACGGGAGGTATAAATACACAGGGAAACAATCAGGAACACATGGGCAGGTTAACAAGGGGCAGGTGAGACCAAAAAACTAAACAGGAGGCAGGGGAGAGTCACAGTCAGAGGGAGGCAGGAGCAGATCGTGACACAGATAAGCATTTATGTGATAACCACTAGTTTCATGGTGCATCAGGGTTTTTGAAAGACACTGCCAGTTGTTATAACCCGTCACAAGGCGTGTGTCAGCAACTCTAGCTTCACCAAAAAGCTTACAAGCAAAACAATAGACTTTTAGTACTTTTGGAGTACAGTAACCAATCCCGTTCCACTTTCTCTCCATTGGACAGTAAACGAAAACAGTGTGCTTTGGAAAAACACCGTTTACTCTTCTCTGATCTTGGATATGGCCCACCAGGACATTTCGGTGGGCCATTCTGAACCATGTACTGCCTCAATGTGTCCCCAATTTCATGTGGTGAAGGCCATTCAGATGGATCTTTTAAATAAGGTCTTTCACCAGCCCTCTCCTCTGCACTTCTCTGTTCCTCTTCCTCTTTATCATGTTGACCTCTTTGTTCTTCTCCCTCTTCTTTGTGTAGACCTCTATGTTCTCTCTCTCCTTCATCATGTGGATCTCTCTGTTTCTGTCCCTCTTCTTCATCATGTAGACCTCTCTGCTCCACATTCTCCCCCGTAGTCATTGACTTGCCTTGTCTGCCTGCACTTATTTTTCTTAAAGGACAAAAAGATGGTCAGTAAAATTCTAATCATACTAGAATTCCAGGTTTTTAATGGCCATTCTAGTATATGTATTCCTATCTGTCATGGTCTCAAGCATTATTTAACAGCTATAAATTACCACTCTTGAAAATGCACTTGATCATTATAAATAATATTTAAAAATTGATCACTTGGTATTAAGTGAGTGTTCACTTCCACCTAGTATTAGACCAACCTGTTGCCTTCCTATCTCTGTTCTGATTCTTTATATCTCTTTTTTCTTCTTTCTCTCCATCCGCACATCTGAATAATAAGAAATTTGAATTTAGAAATATTAAAAAAATACAAGTCTCAAACTACATATAAAAACATTATGTTTTAGTTTAAAATTGCAGGAATTTAAGAGCAAATCTGAAGTGCATCACCCAATTCAATAATTTATCAGTATTATCACTCAACATCCAATTAAACAAAGGATTACTGTCAGAAAAACTAAATAACCACCCCTGGTTCCTTTATTTTTCTTGTGATTATCTATTACGTATTTTTTATTAGATCTAGCTGAATCAAACCCCCCCCCCCCCCCCCCCCCCCCCTCACCACCACCACCCCCGCTGCTCTCACGGAGATCCGACTACTCCCAGAAGCCTGTGTGAGATTAAAACCCTGATCTTGTGGTCCATACAGAACACCCGTAACCTGTCATTTTACTAGAGGCAGGCTAGCAGCTTCAGCTAATAGAGCTAATAGGAATAATGCCTTCTTGCGAGATGACTCTCCTACTGTCTTTCAATCACTTAGAAAGGTTTTTTTTCATCCCTACGAAATTATTTTTCCCTTTCCCTCTTCCGTTTTTTTTGTGCCCAGGAGAGCTTTTTTTCGGACTTTCCATCTCTAGCTAACCTAGCTAGCTGATCAGATGACAGTAGATATCATTCAAATGAAAACACTCGCGCCCCAGCGCTTAATCGCGGGCGCGCGCGCTGGACTCCTCAAGAGTGTTCACGTTCTGTGTGTGTGTGTGTGTGTGTGTGTGTGTGTGTGTGTGTGTGTGTGTGTGTGTGTGTGTGTGTGTGTGTGTGTGTGTGTGTGTGTGTGTGTGTGTGTGTGTGTGTGTGTGGGAGTGTGGGGCGGCAGGGCTGCGGTGGGGCGCCCAATCGCTTGCTTCTGTTAATAATTATTTAATTTACACATGCACAATAGCTATGCAACACAAAAAAGCCCTTCCCCCCCATCAATGCTTAAGCGCACCCTCCAGCGCGGTGCCCCTATGCGTCGCATACACTGCATACCCACTTTTGGCGCCACTGACTGGTAACTTTAACAACCGAGCGTCTGCGTCGTTTTGGCTGCGCACGCGCACTTAACGCTTGCACTTAATTGAGCAGCCCTCCTGGCCCCGCCCCCTTCCACACGTCACGTGAACAGCGTCTGCGCCTCTCTTTATGACGTCACAAAGCCTCAAACTTCATTACCGTCATATACCTTGACCAGCGTCGGATCAGTCACAGTTCACGCCTCAGAGCAAACAGGTAGCATGGAAAACCTACATCATCCTCATATAGAACCACTGAAAGAAAGGGAGAGATTGTTAATAAACTTATTTAATGTGGAACAAAAACTCAAAGATTTGAAAGAGCGCTTTGTAAGAGAGACTGAGCGTTCTGCTGCAGAGAAATTAGAGCAACTGGACACTTATGAAGAGGAGTTAGAAAAATATGATCTTGATTTAATTTTAGTAAATAGAGATGCCAAAGATACAATTTTAGCCCATAAGCGTAATTTAAGTAAACAGGGGCATTTACTTTGGGAACTCGAAGAGGAAAATAAAGTCCTGCAAAATTACAAATTACAACATGAAAACGAAGCCCTGGAGGAGAAGATTTTAGATGACTGTCTCTCAAAAATTAAATTAGTACCAACCTTAGAGTTAAGAGCAACTCCTATGAAATTAAACCAAATGCCTAGTCGTAAGAAGGACTGGATTTTAGGTGCT